ATATATATATATATATATATATATATATATATATATATATATATATAGAGAGAGAGATGACACTTACTCAGTTTTCTTCCGTTGCTTGTTGTCAAAGATTTCATTAAGGTTGATGGACCTCTGACCCAGGAACTTGTCCATCCCCACCAAGGACCGGTGCATCACGATAAGGCAGAGTTCATATACGTCTGGGTTGCCCTCCAACAGTAAACCGGGTAATTCAAACGAGGCTTCCTCTTTCCAGACGGGGCTAAGCGTCTTCTCGGCCACCGACGTCGAGTACTTCTCTTTGCCCAGCTGGATGATGGTGTAGGCATCGTTGGTGCCATTTTTGCCCTTGGGCTGTAAACCGGTTGCTTGCAGAACAGTGGCTTGGACATGGGTTGGAAACCACTTTTGAGACTGCTCGCCCAGTGACATCGTCAGCACTGGATATCAACTGAGGGCCATTCAAAACAAACTAAATGATAATTTATGAACTTAGTGTTTTTAGGAAGCTTGATGTGCAAAAAGCAGCAAACATGGTTCACTATAGTTTGCCGTCCATGTCAGTGTGGCGTGTGCGCCGACAGTAGCAACCATTACAAGCAATGACAAGTCTGACAAACTGAGCAAGTCTCATCTTCTGTCGAATCACAGATGTCCAAGCCACCGGTGAGTCATCTGAACAAACAGAGGAAGAAACAGGACAGGGTTAGCATCTTTCCCAGAACCATAACATGACTCACGAGGGTGTACGGGGAACATCGGGTTTAAGCCGGCTAATGTTTTCAGTCAGCATTCATAGCAATAACTTGCACAAATATGTGATTTCAGAGTAATTACAGGAAATGTCACGACTAAAACAGAAGTTATATTGTGCTGTATGATTTAGTACAGTAACTATTAATAGAGCTCCCTATGCTGGAGTATCAAGAAACAGATGATCTCATCCAGTGACACATTTGGTGCTGGTCCATTGTCACTGAATTAGTAACTGACTCAGTGGGATGATGTTTCATGTCTTCTCTCCAAATGCATCTTTTTTTGAATATAGGGCTGAGAATAAGAAACTGTAATGTTACTAGCAACAAGAGTGGGTGTCAAAGTGTACTTTTCACTACCTGTGTGCAGCACCAGGTTTCATCTCTAGTCGACTCCTCTATAAGGTTTGTGTCTCTGGTGTTCGATATGAAATGAGACTAGGTTTCATTCACAAATTTAACGTTATAAGAAAACTCAGCTGCATATCACAGATTTGACACAGCCACGTGAGTTGTATTAGGGTGGAATTTACTTTGAAGTGAGCATCTATCCTCGGGTTTGTCACAACGAGCTGAACTGCTATGAAACTAAACGGCTGGTCTACTCAAACATTAAAGCAACCTAACAACACCACGAAGCCATATTACCGCATGAGGCTTTGTCATTTTTGCAGAATAACGTTAGCTATGTGCGGCTAGCTGCTGAGCTAGCAAGCACACACACACACACACACACACACACACACACACACACACACACACACACACACACACAGCCGCTTACCTCGGTGTCATCGTCTCCGACACTAGGAGGACATTCAGAACTTCAGCTCAGCGGAGTCTGGCTTCACAAATACATTCGTGCGACGGTTCCTGAGGAAAACGCCAGCTAGTGTTAGTTGTCGCTACTGCCGCTGTTGTTACTATCCATCGCTATTCACTCCTGTCGCGCCAGCGACGAGCTTTACTTCCTAGTCTGACGTCACTTCCACCTCACCCCGGTGGAAGTTCAAGCAAGGGAAAAAAAAGGTGGTGGCACGCGCTCGCGCGCACACACACACACACGGTCGCGCACTACAAACTGCGGCTGCAAAGCTTCTAGAATGTTGATAAGACAATTTAACAATCGTGGTAAATATTGCAATACGTAAAAATAGAAAGAAAGACTGAAAAGAAACACGAAAAAGAAGAAGAAGAAGAAGAGACGTTTTCCCGCTGCCGGTGTTGAGTTGTGGGTATGCTGCACAGGTAGGAATGAGAGGCTATGTAAATTATTTTCTCCTCTGTGAGATGAAGTTCAAGCAAGGGATATATATATATATATATATATATATATATATATATATGTATGTTTGTGTGTGTGTGTGTGTGTGTGTGTGCTCGGGGAGGGGGGGGTGGTGCACTTTACTTGAGAGAGGTAAATCATACAAACATGGGAAGTGCTTTTGTCTCATGAGTGGGACATGGAGGTGCAGATAAGGGGTTCACTTGAATGAACACAGACATGCTTGTCAACCCACTTGACAAGTGCATCTTAACCAAACACACCTGCCCATGTTGGTTTTATCGTTCTGCAGTGCAGTGTGTACACACACCACCGGCCCGAGGCTCCGCCTGGGCCATCCATCAAACTGAGATTATTGCACTTATCTAGAGTACATCTCTGAATGAAATGCTGAGGCTTAGTGAAATATTAGCCCGTACAAAAATGTGAGTCAGATAGCATTTAATACATTTGAGGATCTCCCCCTCATGTTTTGCATTAACTGTTGGTGTCAACATTAAGTGAATGATGACAGCACAATGTCACCTTGTCAGGATGTGGATGTGGCAAAAAATGTAGGCTATAGGTATCACTGTGAAGTGGCTTTTTTACGGTAACAACTTATTTTCACCACACAGATGCTATTTTAACCAGTGTTCAACCAACCAACTGATTGATAAACATTTTAATAACAACACGTTTATACAAATAGCATGTTTTAAAATGGAATTTAAAGTTGCACACAATGTGTCTCAGGGTTTCTATTCCATCATAAAATCAAACCATCCCGGTTTCCCATTTTTATTTTATTTCCCCCAAATAGCTGAACATCCTCTTATTCCACACTGTCTGACAGTATCTACAATATTCTAGATGTCGTGTGCCTCATTTTATACACATTTCCCCCAAAATCAGCCTGACGTGTTTGGTATCTCTGGAAAGAAGACTTTAAGGTTGGCAATATGATAATATAAAATCTGAGATGATACACATTTATCAACCATTTGTCACCGTTAATGCTGTTAGCTCTCCCTTCCCCCTCTGAATCAGCGAGCAGAGCTGTTTTATTCATAGATTTCTCTCCGTATATTTGCATTTTGAAGATTCTTGCTCTTGAGTGTATGGTGGCCAGCAAGGGACAAAGTTTGAAGACAAGCAAAACTGGCCACTGTTTCCAACTGAAGGAGAGATCGGATAAGGCTGCCCAGTCTAACAATGGAATATGCTTAAAGTATTCACACTGCACAGCTCTGGGATGTCTCCAGTCCTTCCTGAGAATACTTTTTTATCTGTTGTGGTTAGCAGTGTCAGGTTGAGCCGAAGGAAATAACCGCCAGAGGCATGCGTATACGCCATCAGGGTCACGACACTCTTCCTTAATTTGACAATAAGTCAAACACTTTCATATATTACGCTCTATAGGAACGTAATACCACTATGCTGCTCCTTTGTGAGATAAAACATGAAAGACGCTGCATTCCAACATCACTTGTATCCTTTTATTACTCCCCTCTACGGCGAATACAAAGGTGCATATGAAAACAGAATATTACGCCATAAATTAGAGAGTAAGGACCCGCTCCACTTTGTGAGGGAATAACGCTGAAGGTCATAAAGTGTCCGACATGTAAGTGAACCTGCATGCGTGGCCGGGGTCCACATGTTGAGCCATATTAGCTGTGGCCCCTAACGGCCGCCATCCACTCCGTGCACATGGTTCTGGTTTAGGCCCATTTCTCCAACACTAGATAGGTTGTATTACATTTATTAAACACTTTCAAAAAAAATCTCTGGCTGCAAGATTGTCCATCTGTTGAGGACAAGAGGAAATATATGAAAGAGGCATATAGGGCGCAGCGGGGAGAGGGGGGAAACAGTTGTGATGTCAGTGCCGGTCTTAATGTGGTGCAGGTCTATAAGTCCTGGACGGATGACTGATTTAAAAGGTATAGCTTTTAGCCGAGTGAACAGTTAGATCACGGATGAGTTTTAATAAAAAAAGAAGGAGAAAGGCACACAAATCACCTCCGCTTTGCTCTCAGGAATGTTTCTGTGCTTTGATATATAGGTGCAGATGTGCGACTGCAGCGTGACGAGCGGAGCTTAAAAGGGGCTGCTAAGCTGGGGCAACATGTCAGCCCGGTGACTCCCTAAAGGCCTTGATTTCTACCTTGTAACCTCCAGGAAGAGTTACTGAAACTACAACGTCCACAACTCACTGGTCAATGAGCTCTACAGGTGCTTTTTGTTTGTTGACTCGTTTTAAAAACAAAAGAGCAGGAACATCGAGAGAAGCAATGAGGAAATCTAAAGCTGCTTATATATATATATATATATATATATATATATATATATTTGGTAGATTTGTCATCAGATCCCCAAACTTATCAATAATACAAGAAAACTAAATCCCAGCAATTCCTAATCCAACCATCCAGCTAGCGTGGGTTTGTTTGTGCAGGAGGTGTTCCCCTTCCTGCCTGTCAATCACACGATGTGCACAGCTCTCTACTCTGCAGCCAGCCATTACAAAAGGTTCCCTCTTTCTTGGTTCGCCATGTTTGACTGTGCCACCAAGGCGAAGCTGTGCCCTTTTCTGCCTTCAGCAGGACAGCGGGTCAGGTCGTGTTGTGGAGGCCGGACGTCATGCAGCACTGGTGTAACCAGAGCGGTTGTTGCGTCTGCGTTTTCAGCCGTGGTTGTAGTCCTGCTGTTCTAGCCTCGTTACCCAAATCTGTTTGTGATTGTCTGCAGTGAAGGGTGTCTGGTCTGTGCTGTAGCCTTTTGTTGGGGATGTTGGGCTATTAAATGGTAGACGGACTGCAGTTTTAAAGGCCCTAACAGACTACTTTACAATTTGCATTCACCCGTTCACACACCGATGGCGACGGACACTCGTGGACAGGAGGAGCCAGGAACCAAACTCAGCCCTGTGATCAGTGGACGACCCGCTCTACCTCCCGAACCACAGCCACCCCCCCCCCCCCCCCCCCCCCCAACAGATCGAGCTCAGCATACTGGGCTATGAAGTGATGGGAACGAGCACCTCCAAGCTTGAGACTACTAACTTTACTGCCCCCTTGGTTTGGGGGAAAAGTTGTAACCCCAAGTGAAGGAATCGTCTCAGAGACGTATACCTTGTTCAACAGTGAGGCCAGAATGGAGCTAGAGATCAGGTGCAATGATGCGATTGTCCTGGACATTCATGGTGAAGACTAACCTATCCCATCTTCCATGGAAACCCTTTAAAATGACATTTTAAAACAGACAATTTAGCTCTTTAGATTATTGTGTCAAGTGCCCCGCCCCTACTGTAAGAACCCAAAGATTCAGATTTTGATAGACACATTTCAAACAGAGAACTTTGTCTTCTGTTCCAAGTTTGACAAATTGAAGAAGTCCCAAAAGTCATCCATCCATTTAATCAGAAATGGATGATATGTTTCTATTTTTCATATCCTTATCAATAAACATGAAATGGACTTCGTCTGTAATCTCAACCCAAAATCACACAACAAATAAAGCTTTTTTTCTCTTCAGGGAGACAGTTGAACCAGCTTCTATAGGTGATGCACCTGAATGTCCAGATCTTTTACTTTCAGGTAAATTCTGCTTCTCAAACTGTTGAATTCATCCAACAAAATATTTGTAATTTAGGTTTGCACCAAACATCAACAGACCATCTTCCCTGTTATGTGCTGCACGTTGTGGCAATAACTTTACACACAGATAGTGAAGTTGCAAAGTCAAAGTAATTGCCTTATTAAATCTGAAAATACCCAAATGTGTTGTGGAGGAAACGGTAACAGCTAAGCATTGATTGTTTAAAGAAGCTACGCTATAACTGCGAGTAAAGCAATGCAGGTTAGCAGCCTCTCATTAGTGCATTGGTACATGCACAGTTTAATGTCAGCAGCACACTCTGAGGTCATGCTGAGCGGGTCAGTGGAGAACAGGTGTCCGTCGCGCACCCGTAATGAAAAGACCCAGGCCGGAGGAAGCCCCCCACACGTGTATGCCCTGCAGTCAGCCCCGTACAGGATGAAATAATTCATCAGAACTGTTCAGAGGGGAAAAAAAGTTCAGAGGCATGCTAATGACAAGAGCATGTTCGCAGAGAAAAAGGAAAGCTGTCCGCTCTGGATGAATTGGGGACGGCAGAACAGAGGTTCGGCCATTTCCAATATCTTTGTATAATCCATGTAGAGGGCTCGCAAATGTCCAATAGAAATCTGTGGTTTTGTAGCACATGGTCCATGCGTGCATGTTGTGCTCTCATGGCTTGTGGGGATTTCTTGTTGTATATTCCCAGATTATAAATGTTGGAGAAAGAACGCTGATTTTTTTATTTTTTTTTATTTCTGTCAATGCTATTTAATCAATTGAAAATATAAAATATGCTCTACTTTATTTTTTAAAAACCCTGCTGCTGGAGACAGAATTTTCCATCCTCAGAATAGAGATGCAACCGGATTTTACAGTGGAATGATTTAAAGTAATGAATGTAGAACATGCTGTAAATGAGTCTCTCCACATTACCATTTTCATAAGACGGTGGAATCTATGATGTACCGGTATTTGCATAGCCAATAGGACATATGTTTATACATCTTAACTTAACAAGCAGTGAGATTTAGAGACTGTGCATTGAAAAAAAACACACACAAATATAAAGTAGTATACCTTAGCCCTACAGAAAAAAAGAGTGGGATGTAT